TGAAAGGAACCTTTTCGGCTCTAAAAAAGTTCTGAAAAGTCATTCCTTTTCATTGAAAGGAACTTTTCAGCTCTAAAAGAGTTCTGAAAATTTGTTCCTTTTCAATGAAAGGAACTTTTCGGCTCTAAAAGTGTTCTGAACATTCATTCCTTTTCAATGAAGGAACTTTTCAGTTCTAAAAGAAATCCAAAAATTCGTTTCTTTTCAATGAAAGGAAACAAATTTTTGGCTCAAAAGAAGTCCAAAAATTCATCTCTTTTCATTGAAAAGGAACTTTTCGGCTTTAATTCAGATCTGACAGATCAGATCTGAATCCAATCCGAATTTGACAGATCAGATCAGATCTGAATCTGTGCGGAACACTAATCTTTAGTATTGCAATCCTTCTATAAAAAAAGTATTCTTCTTTATTTCTTTAACATCTTTTATCTCAAACCACTAGTATATATCATCAAATTCGCCAAAATTTGGTTGATTTCTATCATTAAAATTGGCTACCTTTTTATATCAATGGCATGCAATATAAGCTGAAATATATTCGCAAAGTTTTCTAGTAACTGGTATGTAATATGCATAACATATAATCGCTGCTTATATGAATTTTTTAGTAAGACTTTCATATATATAGAGTTTGATTCCTTTCCATAACTCAATAAATTGATTAATTACAGAAGCCAAATAATAGTTTAATTGATGTAATTTTAATTTATTTGGATTAAAGATTACTGCTAAAGTAATAATATTATTTGGCTTAAATTTTTAGCTTTGTGAAAGATTACTATTACTTTATAATCACTCTTATATTATATTAGAAATTATTGTACAATTAGAACTAATCAAGATTTAACATGATTTTAAGATGACTATCTGCCACTTCGCTTTAGAAAAATATTTGATTGTTTTGATTTTTAAAATTTTTCCAGATTCTTCCATCATATATATCTGATAACTCTTGATAAACAATAGGTTGAGTTGTTCATTTTCTACATGATTTTTCAAAATCTTTTGATTTGTATAATCATTGTAACTGATTTTTTATATTAACAACAGGAAAAATAAGTAAAGGTTAATATATTATTCCTTTTATATATAAACTTGCTTTATAATGATAGTATTATAAGAAGATCTTAATTTCACCATCATATGATTTGAAAAGTCTTGAAATATATAATAATATAGTTTGTCAGTTATTAAATTTTTTATCGCATATATCTTATAGCATTTTTTACAAGTTATGTACTTGATCATATGATCACTGATATTGAATAATTTTCATGTCAGATGTAAAGATTTTGGAAATGCTAAATATGTTCTTTTATTAACTAAGAGCAATAGATATCCCATAAATTTTATAAGAGAATTAATAGCAGTATCAGAAAGTTGATATCTCTCTTGATATTTAAATTCCAATACACAACCTATAAGAATCTCTGATTGATATTTGTAAATGGTATCTTTGTATTTTTATCTTTATAATTTGATTTTGACATATTAAAATTGACTGATTCAACATTATCTGATTTGTCATCATTATTTATTTCTTTTTCACTACCTTCATCAATATCAGATTTGATAACATCATGATCTTTATTATTATCATAAAGAAGCTATTTAATTACAACTATTGGATAACTAATATAACTGCCTAAATGTTTTTACTTTCCTTTAGATAATTTTAAACCCATAATAAGAAAATTAAAATCTTGGTTATAGTCAATATTATTATTACTAATATCTTCTTCATTTATTTTATCTAGTTCCATAAGATTATCTATAAGATTATTCAAAACATTTGTTATCACTCTGGAAGATGCTGCTATCTCAAAAGATTCATTAATTCCCTTTGATCTAAAACTCCTTTCTTTCATATGATTCTTTTATATACAGATCAACTTCATAGCCTTTATATGAATTATAATAACATGATATATACTTTCTTGTAAAATATTTATGATGCTTTAAAGAACCTTTTTGAATAGTTATATCTTTTACAAAAAATTTTTTTAATTTGTGTGTCATAATACTTAAATACTACCAACATGTTAAATATTAAAATCAAATGTAATATTGCTTAAAATTTAGTATACACAGTATAATAAAAAAAAATAAGGATTATATAATATAATAGAAATTCAATAGATACAAAGTATGGCATAATTTAATAAAAAATAATAATTATATCAATATAATATAAAATGATAGCCCTATAATTCTCTATACGTTTACTATTTATTTTTTGTTTATTGTGATGGACTATTATTCAACAACTTTATAAATTTATTTAAAAATATATGTATTGAAGTAAGAAATTATGGTAATTATAAAGAAAAAACACACATTTTATTGATTTAAATAAAATATTGAACTGACTTAATTATATCATTGATTTTAAAACTTAAAATACTATTGTTATTATAATATAGTTAGCTATAAAAGTAATAAAATTAGAGCTTGCATTCCTGATTTGATAATCATACAGACTAATTAATATGTAATGCATCATTTAATTTCTTACAATTAAACTAGATTCAGATGATCAGCAAATTAGAAATACAGGCTCTAATTTTATTATTTTTGTGACTAACTATATTATATATATATAAGGTCAATTTTTCTTATAAAAAGACTTTCTTTAATTGATTTAATTCTAATTAAATTTTCTTTTATTTTATTTCCTATTTTCTATTTACAGTGGCTACCAAAAGAAATGCAAGTGTGATTGGTTACCTTTGAACGGCTATAACTCATCAACCACAAATGCTAG